GGGGTGAGCGGCTGGGGCACGGGGCGCCCATGGGTGCTGCGGGATGCGTTTGCATCACGTCAGGGCGGCACCGGGCGGGTGATGGTACCTGACCCCACACAGCACGGGACCCACGATGCCCGGCCCCCCCACAGCGTTGCGGGGCACAGACTGACGGTACCTGACCCTGTACACCGTAAGGGGGCACAGACAGCCCATTCCTGACCCCATACGGCACTGGGGAGCCTGGACATTCAATCCCCGACCCTATACACCACAAGGCAGCAGCCAGCCCCCAGCCCCGTGCCTCAGTTTACCAGCCGGGTGGTGCGTTGGGGCTGGGAGGGAGCCGGCGCGGAGGCAGGGCCGGACGCCTTCCCGCAGTGCGGTGAGGCCAGGGGAGGGGTTTGGCCCCTTGCCTGCAGCAGGCAGGGCGTCCCGGCAGCCAAGACCTCGTCCCTGGGGGGGGGAATCCCTGCACGGGTCTGTCCCGAGCGGGACGGGACGCCCAGGGACTGCGCGCGGCCCTGCTGCCGGGCGAGGTGCCGTGCGAGGTGCAATGCGAGGTGCTGTGCAAGGTGCTGTGCAAGGTGCCCTGCAAGGTGCCGTGCAAGGTGCCGTGCAAAGGCCCCGCTGTGTGAAGCCAGGCTTTCTGCAAGCCAGGGAACAGCACGGCAGAAGGGCAGTCCCCGGCAAGCGATACAGCCCCCAGCTCACGGCACGCGGAGCTGCCTAGCCCACCCCAGGAGACAGATGTCATTTCTCCAGCCCAGGCCGAGCGGTGCGGGGAAGGGACCCTGCGGGGCCGGGAGGGGGGGGAGAAGCACCCGCCAGTGCAGCCCCAGCTGGGTGCCAGGATCCGGCCAACCCTCGGCATCCTGATGAACGAGCAGCCGCAGCCGCTGCCAGCACCCTGCTCCGGAAAACAGAGGCGTCGGGAAGCCAGCACGGCACATCGCATGGGGAAGCCTGCAGGCAGCAGAGCTGCATCCCAGCACCCAGCCGCCTTCCAGCACCTTCCTCTCTGTTTATGGCTTTAATTTGTTTCTAATTACTTGAAAGTAAATTAAAAATAAGGTTTGCTCTGCACACACGGATATTAAAAAGGGGGTTGGGGCGAGGGCTGGGGCATCACGGCACAGCAGCTCCCCCGGGGACAGGGACGAGCCCTGTGGATGCCCGGGGAGCTGGCAGCAGCGTGGGACCACGGGGACATGTCACCCAGGACAGCTCCCCCGGGGACAGGGAGGAGCCCTGTGGATGCCCGGGGAGCTGGCAGCAGCGTGGGACCACGGGGACATGTCACCCAGGACAGGGGCACCCTGAGGGATGAACCCCCACCCGACCTGTTTCCACCCGCCGTGGGTGTGGGGTGACGGTCCCCACCGTCACCTCTGCCCCACGGGACGTGGAGTGCACGGATGGATCCCAAAGCCACTGGAGAGGCGAGGAGTGCTCCTGTCCCCGGGGCCTTCCATCCATCCTCCATCCCAGGGGACGCCCTGCACCACGGAAACAGCCCCCAGGTGGCCCCCTCGCCCCCCCAAAACCCCTCTGCAACACCCCACAGAGCCACGGGGGAGGGATGTGGTCCGACATGCCACCGCGGCGGCGCAAGTGCCAGGAAAGCCAGAGCATCCCCAGTCTGCCCGCTGCAGGCAGGGAGAGGGCAGGGGCAGGCAGGGCTCCCTCGCCCGGCACCAGCCTGATTTCGGAGGCTGTTCAGAGCCTGCCCTGGCACGAAGCCACCTGTAATGGGTTCGCCTCGGATAATCCCTCCTCGCCTTTAAATTCCATTAAAGCCATCCGGGAAGATTAGCGACAGCGGTTCAGGCTGAGAAAAACAGTTCCCAGGACGGCTGCTCGGCTCTGCCGAAATACCAGGGGCTCCTCCGGGCGCTGCCGGGATGGACCCTCGCCCCACGGCCAAGGAGAGCTGCCGGCAACCCACCGCCTGCGTTTGCCCGCGCCCCGCCGAGGGGCAGGCAGGGAAAGCGGCAGCTGGTGTGTTTGCTCGGCACAAGCAGGGGAGGAAAACAGCGGTGCCGGTTCGGGCCGGGTCAAACGCGCGGTGCCCAAGCCGGGGGGTGAGGCGGCGCGGGGACCATGGCCGTGGCAATGGAGTGGGATGCGCCGGGTGGCCACGGGCACCACGCCGGGGGGGGGGGCCCGACACGCACCGGGGAGGGTCTTTGCACGGCCGAGCGCCGGTGGCTCGGTCCTCCCGCCGAGCACAGCCTTGATAGGGGCATCCACGGACCTGCGGGTGACCCTCGTCCCCGTGCCCAGATGCCAGGGCCGTCCTCACACCTATGCCAGGGTGACCCTCGCCCCCATGCCTGCGTGCCAGGGTGACCGTCACCTCTGAGCCTGGGAGCTGGGGAGACCCTCACCCCTGTGCCAAGGTGGCCTTCACCCCTGCGCCTGCATGCCAGGGTGGCCCCCACCCCTCTGCCCACGTGCCGGGGTGACCCTCACCCCCATTGCCCACGTGTTGGCCCATGCCGGAGGGACAGCAGTGCCAGGAGCGCTCCCGAGTGACAGCGAGCCCCAGCACCAGCCTCACCGGCCCGGCACAGCACCGGCGCTCAGCACGGCACAGCCCTGGGCTACCAGGGA